TGGTACATGCATAAAGGTAAGATTACAAAGCAACACAATGACTTCAGACCATCACTATTTGATTAAAATTAACTTTTTACGACAAAAGTACTCAGAGAGTACTTTCCGAGTACTTTTCTCCTCAAAACTTAAATTTTACACAACTGGGAGTGTCTGAAGTCTAACATTTATTTTGTCTTACCTCTTACTCTGCACTTTTACCATCAAATGCCTGTGCACTCTGGCTTTATTCCCTCTTACCCAGTTCAGTATTTTGCAGAGAACATTGGTACTCGGAAAGTACTCGACTACAACACTGGTAAAGAACTGTGAAGCCTTTGTACATGTACCTGTATCTCCCTTGGTGGTGGTCTTTGTTGATTTACTTTTAAATGACAGACAACGCTGACTAGGTTTTTTTCTCCTAGAGTACAATGAATTGTATTGCTAAGGTCGATAAAATAGCTTGTACATCTGTATTGCAGTCGTATGTCAACCTATCTTGTAAAAAATTTTGATGAAGCTTTGTTAGTATTTACTTGTTTGATTTAGTTACTGTATTTGTGTAACTTGGATGTTTCTTATGTGTTATTACAAGAGAGAAATTCAAATTCATAACAAGCAGCAAGCCATGGCGGCTTTGCCGTTCTAGTTTGTACTTTTTTTCTGTGCACATGGGTCATGGAAGGTTGTGCTGTCTTCACACACTTGTTAATTTCTACCACTTCATCTATTTGCAGTTGAAGAACAATACCATGTTGGATGTTCCAGTGGTGGTCATTGCCAGCAATAGACCAAATTACTTATATCGAATGTTAAGGTCACTTCTTTCTGCTCATGGAGGTAAGTTAGGACTGCAAAACTTGAATTGAAGGCACATGAAAGCAATCGTACAGTGTGGTCGGCAACAATGATATTCAATCTTTTACTAATTGTTTCAAATACTTGCACAAGCTCGCTAGGACATGTTTGTTTCTTGTTACTGTTATTTTAAAAGCAAACTTGTAAGTGATTCTTGCAGAAAAAAATTTAACTGTAATCTAAACCCTGAAAATCGGTGCTGAAATGAGCCCAAGAAAGTGGAGATGATAATAGACATCACATGGCATTCAGGGGTGAGATTTGACCGTTTTTTCCAGATTTTCAAATAAAAAAAAATGGATTCATTACTTCCAGATTTTCTACTTGGCATGGCGTTGCTGGAACTAGAAGACATGTAATATTTCCAAATTTTGAACAAAAGTGAATGCAGGACTTGTGCAAGTTGAAGTTTAAAAGTGCACCCACTCTTGTGTTGTTACTCCCATTGGAATACAATAGATTACTACTGGACATTTGGGGTACATGGTATTGAACCGTAAGAGCTCGGCACAGCTTCGAATTGTACATGTGTTATGCATCGTTATTGGCAGTGTTTACGAAAAACTTGGATGTCATTTAATGCTTGTTGCATGGCTCTTTATTATCATGGTGGAGACCTTTGACTTGATAAAGACTTTAAAATTTTATGGAAACTTTTATGGCTTGAATGTCAGGTGGAAAACGAGGCAGCAAATGGGAAGGCAAATGTTAGGCTAAGAAAAAAGCTCTGCTTCCGATTACATGCCTCTCAAACATCGGTTAGGTAGGTTGGAAAATATTTGGGGGGGGGTAATTTTTGTCCTGATTGAATGGGGACAAAACTATCAAAAAATTGTTGCAAAGGTGGCAAAAACTTGCCTTAATCAATGTAAAAATATAAACAGATAATTCTTGAGAATTATGAACAACTCACACCACTGTGCACAACCTTGGTCAGGTAATCACGACCAGAAACTGGCAAACTATGTCCGTATATCCTGTGGTAAGCGTGCATGATGAATCTAGAGGGGCAGGTGATAAACCTGATGCTGCTGCAGGAAATTTGGTGGAAACACACCGCCTTCAAGTACGAGCATGGTACGAGCAATACAACCTCAAATTAAATTTGTGAGCACAGAAAAATACATACATGGACATGGACAAGAAATCCAGTTGTGTGAATTAACTTGCAAAAATCTTCTTGCAACATCGATGTTTTTGAAGCACAGTTGTAGAGCTGCGTCCAACGTACATCTACACGAAGTGCAGCAACCCTAGTTTAGCTGGGTTGAATAGGTATTTCGATAGTGACTTCTTTGGAATTGGCGCAGTGTGGTGGGAAGCAGCACAGCATTACTTCAATGCGTTGAGCAACGCGCACATTTGTTCACCACTGCAATAGCGAAGCACAAAGGGAACTTGTGATAATAATGGAAACTTCTTTTGAGAAGTTGGGAATGTAAGTAGGAAAACAAATACAAGTGTTTTGACAAGGGATCAACTGGTGTACAGTGTAGGTTTTAACTGCCGATCTGATGTCCAATGTTTTAATCGGAACGTTGGTCAATGTCCAATCCGATCCGATGTTTTTACCAACAATACCTGAAAACGCAACGTTAACAGGATGTATGTAGGCCTGCTCATAACAACACAAAACCAGTGTACTCCCTTAAAATTTTAAATGTCAGTTTACACATTACCGTTAATAGGATTAGTTTTTTGCCTAGTTGAGAGAATTGTGTACATCACATTGCTGCTCGCACGATACTGACAGTGCTCCGTTGTATTCAAACCCAACATACGCAGTGCATAATACATGTACAGTACATGCAGAATAGAACACAGCACCTAGGGCTGAATCATAGCTAGCCTTTAGTCAAGGCGCGCATGGCACCATTGCACCATGCTCGGCTGGTGCCTTCGCCATTCACTTTGGTGTCTTCGTCATGCCAACGGCAGAGGTGCGCATTGTGTGTCCACACATGCCTTGAGTAAAGCTAAATCGGAGGCTACCTTCAGACTTGGTCACACAACATTTCGTGGTGTCACATGCGGTGTAGTTCCCTGGCTCTTTTCAAAAGAAATGGTAAATGTGTACACTGACTGCTCCTTGTCCGCAGTCCGTGTGATGAGTTTTTGCGGCACAAATAACGAAGATTTAATTTTTGGGATACTTAGCGTGTGTTTAACCATGGCATAACTGTTCATTGATCACACCAAATGAAAAAAACTCTGTTTTTATTCATGCTCAAGTAAAAATCTGACATATGTGTTTGCTAAAACTGAGTGCAGAGTTAGTTCCTTCTTCAGTGTAACATCGGCACTCATATCGGCAAGGAAGGTTAAATTTTGCCGATTTGATGTTTTGCCGATGTTGCCGAACATCGGCCCAATTCCGATGTCCGATCCGATCATCAGTTCATCCCTAGTTTTGACATGAAAAAGTTGTTGAAAGGTGTTTTGTGAGAAAACAGAAGACAACAGGATTTTTTTATTATTTCTTTTTTTTTATTTGTTTTTCTAACTTGCTGATACAAATTTTAGGGTCGGGCCCAAAAAAATCTGGGAAACTGGAAGCAGAACTATTTCTTTTTGGCCTTATCAGGAATTAATCAGAAAAATCAAGTGAGGATGCTGCAGGTACATGTAGTGTGGTAAGTTTTTGAAATAAAGGATTGAGGGACATATGCAAGGAAGCATCTTGTTTTCCCCTGATTTTTTATTTTCCTGGAATCTCACCTCTGGACAGTATGCATGTATTTCAAAAAGGAAAGATTGTAAACCATTGATATAAAAAGGGAAATTCAACCTATTTTTCTGTCTTAAATTTCTTTTTCAGTGAATCCCAAAATGATCAACGTCTTCATTGATGGCTATTTTGAGGAGCCACTCAAGGTGACCAGACTTTTTGACCTCAAGGGCATCCAGCATACACCAATAGGGTCCAAGGCTGGTCGAATAAGCCAACATTACAAAGCCAGCCTAACGGCTACATTCTCTATGTACCCGGTAGGTTTACTGTCAAACTATGATCAAGGCCCAAGGCTGGTCAGATAAGCCAACATTACAAGGCTAGCCTAATTCTCTATGTACCCTGTACATTTACTGTCACACTATGATCAAGGGCTAAGGCTGGTCAGATAAGCCAACATTACAAGGCCAGCCTCCACAGCTACGGTATATTTTCTGTGTACCTGATAGACATGCAGTCAGGTGTAATAGCTGCTACCCAGTATTGCAAGCATGGAAGGTGATGGGTGGTGGTAACAGTAAACACAAACAGTATACATGTATTAGAGATCTGTTGCACAAAGCAGTGGAAACAAGAGTGACTTTCAATTTGTATTTTGTGTTTGGCAGGCATGTTGTTACTCCCATCTTCAGCAGGAGTGGTCAGACTTGTAACAAATCATGCTGCAAGTGGTTCCTAGGAACATGTGTGTACTGTATGTTATCAGAACTAACACAAAGGTGCCCCTTCTTGAACTGTCATATTTATTAGACTGGTCAGATGATGTGACAGCAAGTATTGTAGTTAACAGCTGTGCAAGTAATTGATAACCTTCACACAAGAAGTCATTGTAGTGTTTGTCTTTGATTCATTATTTCCCCCCACAGAGTGCCAAGTATGCAATCATTTTGGAGGAAGATTTAGATGTTTCCGAAGACATATTTAGGTAAACACATGTCAGTGCTTTGCATCCTTATCTTTACATCAATTTCTATTTGAGATACTGTGTCCCCTAAACTTAACCGTCATCATAAAATCCTGTGAATGGTTTTGCAGGATTGAGACTGTGTGGTCAAAATACATGTATGTACATGTGTACATGTATGTTGATTGTGAAGGATGCATTGTGTTGTGCTCCTGGGCTGAACTTTGTACAGGTAGCAAGTCTAGATTTTACTTAAAATCATCTGCGCTGCTCCAGGATATCATTCACACTACCTCAACCTGTGGCAGTAACTGCTGGTGGATCTTGAAGATTGAGGCAGTGGTCACCCTGTCATAGCACAAAGTCAAGAAATAATGTAGGATTTGGGAAGATCGTCCAATTTTTACTTGCATTCCGTTGGAGGCTTGAGATGGCCTGAGGATGCCTATCCAACAGGGTTTTGGGTTTGAGTTGAAGATTCATATCCTACACCTCCCTTCTTTAAATCTTCAATGAGAAACGATTGTGAATTGGTTGGTACAATCATTTAATGAAAGTCTTTGACAAAAGAGCTGATTTTGTTTTGCACAAGAATTTGAATTGAGAAATCCTTTGCTGTCAAAGACATATTTTGAAATTGTGAATGAGACTATTTACATATGATAGATGCAGTTATCATACAAGATTGCTTTAAGGGGCAGTTGTATAGCATTGACAAGGAATGTATTGACTTTTAGGGGGGGATTTTTATCTTTGTCAGTTATTTTAGTCAAACAAGTTATCTGCTTGAAAGGGATGACAGTCTTTACTGTATATCAGCATGGAATGACCTGGTAAGTGCAACAACTTCTTTGAGGGGTTTTCTTTATGGTTTCACTCATCCAAAGTTGCCGCACAGCCTGACACACTACCATACCGGTATTTCTGTCACAATGGAAAGATCTAAGTATCAACCTTATTTGGTTTCAAAATCTGGATCATCCGACATTATTGGGGTTTACAAATGGACAGATAATCCAATGCTTGTTTCATTATATTGTAACACTTTTGTTGTATAGGGTTATGAGCACACAGTTCAAGACTCTACACTACTGTACCGTGTAGAAACCATGCCTGGTCTTGGATGGTTACTGAAGAGGTCACTTTATAAGGAAGAACTTGAGCCCAACTGGCCTACACCAGAAAAGGTACACCTTGTCTTTATCCTTACAATGCTCACTCTTGAGGAGGCCAAAAGCTTGCATGCAACTGTTGAAGTGTTTTTGGAAGTTGTAATAGAGCATGGATTAATCCCCACTCAAAGCAGGAGGTGGGTGTAGATACTTTGTAAGGGTTGCTGTTTGCTCAAAAGTGATGGAAATCAGTTATGGAACAAAAGGTACATGTATGCCAACTACAGGCTTGACCAAAATCTAAACTATTAGACTGAAAAGGAAAGATGGCTTTCTTCTTAAATTTGATGGATCGAGTGACTTCCTGGAATACCCTTTTCAGGTTTCATTAGTTGTTGCCATTCAGTTTTTTGTTGTGTTTATCATATATCTTTGTCTCTGGGACAAATTGTTCCTTTACACGGATGACATTTATTGTGATTGAGTGTATTCCTTTTGGTCATGCCTGTATATATGTAGGTTTGGGACTGGGACATGTGGATGCGGACACCGGAGGTTCGTAAGGGTCGGGAGTGCATCATTCCTGACATCTCTAGGACATTTCATTTTGGAGCTAGTGGTCTGAACATGAATAGCCATTTTCAGGTTTGTCTTTAAGTACTAAATGCTTTTCCAAGCTTAAGTCATAAGACATCTTATCTTACCATTGCTTACTGATAATGCATTTTGTAAAGTTTGCAGGAAGTGATGGTGTTCTTGGGTTATATAGCGTCTTTGGACTGTTTTGGGACGGGTGATGATAATCCTGCATAATTCAATAATCTCAAACAATAACAGGCAGTTGCTGTTCAATTTGTTGAATCTCTGAACGAAAAGGTCATCTTTTGAAATCATTGGACAATTTTTTTCATATTCACTGGTTTATTATTAAGTCTTTGCAGCAGGGTTAAAGAGGGGACTTGATATAGTATCAGGTTAATGTAGGAACAGGAGATAAAGTTGGTCCTGTTCCCTTTAAGATGCTCATCCTTTCATTCTGGAAAGGGAAGTTAGTTTTCATGCATAAATAGTCATCAAATCATTGTCTGCGCAAAATGTCATAAAGTATTATCTTATTTGAATGAATATAATCTCAAAACGCACCCGTCACTGTGAATCTTTTCAGCTGAGTTGAACCTATTAGTGCTGAGCCGGCAGTGTATACTGATGTTTTTTTGGAATGGCACTTCCATGCAGCACCTTTGCTGAGCCACATCCTTACCTCATGCAGCCTTTGTTTCTTCATTTGTACCATAATAATTCTCCAATAAATTATTATTATCAATTTTATTAATAATTTCTGGTAATGACACCAAGGATTCCTCAAAAGCGCTCAAGGCGCTGTAGCTTGCAAGCCTGAAGAAACCTGTAGAGAGGAGACAATGAGAATAAGAAGCAGTTGCTGTTTTAGAAGTGGGAGAAAAACTCTATATGTTCTGAGTAAAACCCACGGAATCAGGTAGGGACTGAAAATGTAATCCATGTGTGGACCAGGCCGGGATTCGAACCTGGACCGCAGAAGTGGAAGGCAAGGAAAACACCACTATGCCAACAAGTGTAAACAATGGTTTAAGAAGAGAGTCGTGCATGGAGTATGGCAGTTAAGTGTCATATTGTCCAAGTTATCTGTCTGCAAAAAGAATATTACACAATGAAAAAAAAATTGTTTACACAATGGTGAAAAAGTTGAAGGCAGAAGTTAATGGTGCATTGTATAGGAAATTGAATTGAGTCAAGTGTTCATGACCATTGTACATACTACAGGAACTGTATTTCAAGAAACACCCTTATAACACAGTGCCTCATGTGAAGCTAAAAAACCTGGAGGGTATGACCCGGGAAGCTTATGAAGACCAAATGCATAGATTGATCAGCAAGGCAGAAGTGCTCGACCACTCGTTAAATCCCTGTGAAGAGGAACGCTTCATACCTAAATTGAAGGGCAAGTCTTATGTCATGTACATTCAGATGTACTCTGACAATGACTATGAAACATGGCTTGCAGTTGCAAAGGTAAGTATGCTAGGTAATGTTGGAAATTATGACAGTGAATGTTTAGATTTTGTTACATTTTTTGCAGGGTTTTGGATTAGTACCTTAACTTTCAGGATATTTGTTAAGATAAATATCACTTAAACCTACTGATATCCATTACATAGTCCCAGGAAATTTTAATTTATACCATTGGGTTGAGGGTAAAGGCATGTAACCCTGTCTGCCAGTAGATCTTACAGTGATGCCTAGTGAATACAGCATACAACTTCCATACCTCTCCATGTGTATTTACCTTTTGCTAGTCTTGGTGCCAAATTCTTATTGTTAACCTATACTTGAATGAGTGAATTGTGTTTTATTGAGTAGAATCCAAGTCAATTTTTTGTCATCACATTACGTAAATAGCTCCTACGTAATGTGCCTCAAGGTCTTGGATTGCTGTGAAATCTCACTGATTCTTGCATGCTGTTTGTAAATAGCCATTGTTTCTAAAGAATCTGTTACCTCACGTTTCCTCAACAGTGCTTCCGCATTTGGGATCTAGATGCAAGGGGCTTCCACAAAGCATCATGGCGAATGTTTATGAAGGAATCACCGTTATTTGTTGTAGGCTTTCCTGCATCCCCTTACGCGTGAGTTTAATACCAGTCTTTTATGGTTCCATTTGATGTCATTAGTAACACTGAGATACCATCTGAAGGTGTTACTCATAAATAATGGCAAGGAGAGTTGTAAGGCAAGAAGTTAACATACAGAATTGCTAAGCTAGTTGATCAGCTGAGAATGAGTTGCAAGCAATACAACACGTCATGCACACCATTTCCCTTTTTAAGAAGAAAAATGTTTTTTTATGTTGAGTACTTTCTTTTTCAGCAGTTTCACGAACTCAACAGCAGGGTTGCCAATGTGAGAAAAATTATAAATAAAAAATTGAGGAAGCCCAAGGAATCAGGTAGAGACCGCAAAAGATGAAAGTCACTAAGATGGAAAGAGTTAAAAAGGCATCACTGCTCCAGCTTGACTCAGTGCTCACTTTGTGACCAGTGACTATTAGTGGGAATTTAAAATTACATAAAGTGACTGTTACTGGAATATTTTGCCCAACTCCCCAATGTGAAATTCCATTTGAAGTCTTTGATTGTAGTTTAAAACAAGCCAGCTGACCCCATTAAGCTTAGTACTGTAGTTGAGTGGAAATATTAGCGCTAGTAAGCAGGAAGTCATTGATTAAATTACATTGGTTAAGAATAGAATGCACTATTTTAACCTTTATTATTGATCCTTCAGGAAATATAAACCTATAGATGTGAAGCCGATCTATCTGAAGAAACAAAGCAAGACCAAGTTACGCTGAATTTGTGGGGATTTTTAGCATGAATCTTTGTGCTGATTCAACACACTCATCTGAAGTAGTCAACCAGTCTAACTCTGTAGGTCAGAGTGGTGATTCACAACCTTTGTCCCTGGCCACATCTCGTCAGACAGTGATAGGTATTGTGAACCAGTGTTGTCAAGGTCTCTTTCAGGCCCCTAAGTCAACTGAAATGTAATGTTCTTGTGGTTGGAATCTAGTGTTGGTATCAAGGCTATGCCAGTTTGAAATCAGTTGGAATAGTAGTGAGTATACACAACTTCTACCAGTATGTGATTAATGTAGGAATATGGAAAAGAGTTCAGACTTTTTGATGCTCATTTGTGATCCATACTGAGTACTTGGACGAGACTCGTTTCCCTCTGCCCATAATGAGTACTTGGACAAGACTCGTTTCCCTCTGCCCATAATGAGTACTTGGACAAGACTCGTTTCCCTCTGCCCATAATGAGTACTTGGACAAGACTCGTTTCCCTCTGCCCATAATGAGTACTTGAACAACATTCATTTTCCTCTGTACCAAATGATATCTCACTGTAATTGTCAGACATGAAAGAGGACTTGACTACAACACTTTTGTGAGTCTCTGAAACATAGAAATTAATGTGGTACATGTATGTACCAAACATGGATCTTGATGCTGCCCAGATTGTGCAGTTAGGAGGATATTGAACTGTATGGAGGACACTTCTGTTATGATGAGATCATTAGCTTTTCGTCTGTAAATTTGTTCCTAAGGAAAGTCATTCTGTTACTGTGTTGGTGAGCAGTGAAATTAATTCTTGATTAATGTGTCTTTTCAACCTGCAAAAGTTGACTTCACTATGTAAATATTTATCCCATAGAAGTACTTTTGGCTTCTGGTCTGAAAGGCAAACTCTAATGTCTATTGTAGCAATTTATTTGTAATATTTTGTCATTAATTGTTATGACCGTTTTATGCTAGATTTCAAATAGCCAGTTGACTGCTACTGAAGACAAGCTCTTTGAAAGGGGACTTATAAACTGCACAGAAACAATTTTCATTTGATATCAAGCTAGAGAAGAATGCCTTGCTAGTTTCACCAACATATTCCAAATGTGAGGGAGTTAACTGCTTGTCTTAAACATAGTTTCCAATGAACCACGTTGCAGTCAGCTGCTAGCCTGTGTGTGGAGAGAATCTGATTTCAAATATGATTTTCTCTCCTTTTGTTCACATTATTGTTTAAATTCAGCCTATTTTTAAATCGCTTATTTTTGTCTTCACTGAAAGTTTTGCCATTTTGTATAAAAGCCATCTCAGGACTAGAAAATGTCAAAAACCAACTGAATAATTGTGTGTGAGTTGTTACTACATAATTGACAGATATTTTGTAATGATGATTTGGTTATTGAAAATTAACAAACTAATATATAAGCACAAGAATTGCTAATTTAAGTTCTGATTGAAGTTTCCCTGAATTCGATTTATCTGCTCTCTTTCTTTTTTTTCCTCCTTCCATTGTAATTGTTCAGATCAGCAAACAGTTTGTTCATATAGCTTCATGAAATATCTTTTCTCTTCCAGTAGATGGAGTTTTAAAAATTCTAAAATAAGAATTTCTCTGTTTAAATAGATACACCTGGTTGGCGAATAACATAACATTGTCAAACTACAATTTAGTTTCCCCTGTCTCCAACACACAATATTCATGAAATTATCTTGTAGGCAGTACACTAGTCAACCAGGCTGTCCCACAGCATACAAGCATTAGAATGCAGCAGAGTTGTTGTATTTGTAGGGATGCGTATATGAATACAGCTAAAAAGGTGAACCTGTGTACTGTACAATTATTGCTACTCTTCAGTTAGGTTTCATTTACTAATGTGCAGTCAAAAGGGCCTAATGCTGTGTTCCAGTCATGTGCTTGTTCTTCAGAGCTTGACAGTGCTGTGTATTAGGTACTACACAGGGCATATGTATTGACTTTGTAGATACATGTTTGTGATAAGTGAGTGGTAAACCTTGACGTGAGAAATATAACATGGTTGGTAGTAATTCAAGACCTCTGAAAGGGACTTGTAACGTTGCTGAGAAGAGCCAGTTTTTTGTGATACATTTAGAAGGGTTGCATGAAAGGCAGTCACTGTAGACTGAGACATGAAATAGTCACAGCTGGCATGACAGTGTACATATGTTTACTAGTGTTATTATACACAAAATACCGCATTTTCTTAAAGTTATTTGTAAAAGAGTTTCGTTGTTTAGCAAGGCTACAGGTACTTGCAAGTTACATTTGTAAAATTTAATATTTGTAGGCATAAACTAAGGCAAGAGAGTTATTACAAATGAAATCAATTGTGCAATCACCCATTTCACAGGGTAAACAAATGAGAAACTTGATAATTTCCAGTATTATTATAAGGATAGTCAGTTTCATTGGTTTCATCTCTGGTACAGCAGAGTGAAATTGCCTTATAACTCCTAGGCTGTTTACAGATGCTAAAAATAACTTAACATTTTTTAGGGTCTTCTCACCCAAAAGAAATGGCCCTAGAAGTCAGCTTGTATAAAAACCCTAGCTGTTGTCCTTTCACTCCATCGGTATAAATATTTAATACTATTTGTTTAGATAAGACTTGAAGCTATGCATGGTGGAAGTACTAAATTAGGTTAGGCTTGGGGTGGCACCATGTACAAGAAAATATCTCTAAACTGTTTGTTTAGTTCTTCACAAACTAGTGAGTTGAAAGGAAAACCAGCCTAGGCTTGCTTTAAGAGGAGTCATCTCAACTGCTTGTAACTATCACACAGTAAAGATTATGTAAGGTCATACTGTGTGGTTGAGTCCCATTAGAACAATCTTGTAAAGGTTAATGTGAAGCAGTAATCAGTAGGGGGATTGCTAGTTGTGACACCTTGGAGTCAGTTCTGTTGAACTAGTACCACTGCTGCATGGAATCCATGTTTATAGTGTATGTCACAGGCTACATGTACATGTATGTACAGCAAGCTGGTCTTGCTTGTAAGTTATAGACTTATTACGGACTGCAGTGAAACTAAATCAACCCTGGACTTTTTGTCACCATTTCTTTTTGGGGGGGGGGAGGAAGCACATGCCACCATTTGTGGAAGACTGAACATTTGTCATTGCTTTGTAAAAGCAAACTTAAAGTATCCCTGTGACTTTCTCAGTTGTTTCAAATCAAATAATGTGCTGTGGAATGCTGTGTCTAAATAATTCAAACGAGATAAAATCCCAAACCAACATGAAGTTAAAAAGTTGGTATCTTCATAGATTCAGTATAATTGCTGTTCTGCTGACTGACTTTGGTGGAGATTTCATGAAACCATTTTATTTCCAAAGTCAAAATGTAAATACAATAGAACCCCTCCAGTCAAAAATTTGGAAATTGCAAGAGTATTCAGTTCAAATCACTACTGTTGCATTTGGACCAGTATCACCTTTGATTTACCTTTGGTCTAAAATGTGTAAATATGTTAATTATTGTATGCTTGACCCGCAAGCTTGTGCATGTATTTTGAATTACTTGCCTCAAGTAAGCTAGAGTAAATGGGCACAAGGTGCTATATAATATGATGTGCCAGTAGTTGATTTAGAATGCCCAGACTTGTTTGGAGACTGTATATGACCTCATTGTCCCTGGTGGGGAAGAACAGCACCCTAGTGTATCTTCATTCTCTCCTTGTTCTTAAACTTGAGAAACAGTGAGTATAGAATGATATGGTACATGTTTTTCATCTCAGACTCTGAGACACTTTTAATCTGGGCCCCGAGTGTTATGGATAGTTTTTCTGATAGTTCATGTGATTTAATACCACAGTTCATTCTACTCTTCTGCTGGAAGTGTCCATGCTAAAGAGGAAATGTCTTTATCATCTGTATTCAAAACTGTCAACCCGGTGTTCATCAATCAAACATTAGGAATCATAGAACGCTACTAAGGCTATGCCCACAGTTTATAGATAACAAAACCAGAATGCTTTCTACAGAGGACCAGGCAATAGTTTTTCTTCTGTGATTTCCACACTGAGTTTTATAAATTAAGAATTTATTCTCCTGAAGATTTAATTGGAGATGATACTTGTGGTGATGGTGATGAATGATGCATGCATGGTTGCCATGACAGCAGTTAATAATGATATTTGTTATGAAAATCATCACAGTAATGGTAACATTGAGATATATAGTACTGGTTAAAGTACAGTTGATAACAGCAATGGCAAGGATTATGGTAATGTTGATGGGTGATAGTTACGCTAATAGTGACCATTTGCAAAACAGTTTTGTGTCAGAGGCACCACCCATTGGTACTACATGTACCTTGGAGTGTTAGACTGGTTCTCATTTCTGTATTATTTTCCTCTTACTGGAAATGAAATATATCGTGTATGAAATTTGGCGTGAGAACCAATCAAATGAAGTTCTATTCAACGGGGAAAAGAACGAACAATTCGGTGACGTGATCAGTGATCCACTGATCAGATGATCGTGATTTATGCACATATTGTATAGAACTTGTTGATGGTACTTTGGCAAAAACAGTAGAATTACTAAATAACAAGAGATGCACTTGTGGCAAATGAGCAAGAATCTGTGGGTGAGGTGTAGTGAAATGTTTACAATGCGCAGTTTACTGGAACCTGTTCTCATACTTGTGACAAGTGTACAAAGTAACTTGTGTAACCATGCATGCGTATATCATCATAGATACACCTGTCACATCATTCTTAATTTGCATAAGATTTCCAAACAAAAAATAGTTTGAAAAAAGATGTTCATAATGTTAGCATCAATTCATGTGTGTAAATTCTGAGTCTTAACTCAGGGGTACCCAGTAGAAGGGCATGGACTAAAAGCAACATAAGGAAACAAGATATGGTTCATACCTGGATCCTTCAGAAGGAATTTGCAGCTGATCAGAGGCTAACTACTTTGTAGTACAAACAAAATCATTCAAATAATACAAAACCAAATAAAGTCCTACACTATCTGTGAAGAGTAAATTGAACCACTTATCTTAGCTGCACCAGTGTTGTTTGTATTGGGAGTCTAACTGAACTCAGAATTGGAAGCACATTTGATTTTAAAAACATAAAACATTTGCATTATATTCTTGTCTTTTACTTGTGTATGCAATATTGCTCTCACCTATGCACTTCAATACATGCACTCTTTTTAATAATAATGTTTCTTGGGTTAATAATTCAGAATGACATCATTATGAGGTATTTGGGTGGTTAATTGATACTACAAATTGTCTTTAGTGAAATTTTGCTTGATTTTAAGGGCTGGATAAAACTAAATTGTAAATAAAGATGACTTTGGTTGGCCCTTGGCTGATATGGATGGCACTCAAGCACCAAAGTAATAGGAGATATATGTACACTATGTAGTGACGTTTCCAAGTAAGATGGTGTGCCATTGTGTGCGGGCTTATCCACCCAAATCAGTGGAAGTGGGATCCACAGTCGAGAAAAGAGGAATTTTTGGTTTTGTTTGGAAAGGTGCTTTTTTGAAAGGGAGGGGGGATGATCCTACTGAACCCTATGCTAAAAACCTAAATTGATAGGATATATTGACAACTGTTACCTGGTTTCTACACAGTGTATAATTGTGTATAGTGTATCATGTCAGTAGCTACAGTGTAATATGCATGATGGTTCCAAGAATTTTTTTGAACAGAATTAGTAATGGAGTCCACGTAAAATCTCTTGGATGCTACCTACTTATAGTTTTCTTGATTCCTTTTATGTAGTATTGTGTGAGGAACCATTTTAAACTGCTAAGATCAATATTCTAAGCCTCTTCACCATCAGTCAAGAATATGAATTATGTTGTATTCCAGTTCATCAAAGTGCTATATTTTTGGTGCAGATTGGTTTTTGTCTTCACATTTGTTTATGCGTGCCATTGCATATTAGAAATAAAAATGTATTTGTACTAACACTTCTTGTACTCACTGAGTAATATTTTCCCAGGTTTTTAACTTCAGGTACTTTGCTTTGGCAGTAGTAAGAAATTCAAAACAAGATCAGTTGCATTTCATTTTACTTTTTGTGATTAGTTGCAGTGAAAATCTGTTGATCTTATTTAAATGACTTTCGTATCATTCCATGAAAGGCTGAAGTCTGGGCACTGTTTCATCATAAATGGCATTTTTAAAAGATCAGTGTTTCACTTTATCATAGGTATGCCACGTGATCCGCTCAACCAGGCTTTTCATAATTTGGGATTGTGTTCTAGGTAGCTACCAAAACAGAGATGACAAGGGAAACTGTTTGGTTTAAATGACTTGAAGTTCTGCAAGATGGGAGTACGTGTATGTGCAAAAATGAGGCTTGGGGCATCTAACTTATCCCTTCTGTAAAGTGTTGTTTCAGAAAGAACCATTGGTAAGAATCCTTTCGCAGTGTTTAATTCTCGAGTAGCCGGGTTATTTTGGCCCGTTTCACAGCTGGTTGGGGCATATTCTGTATCCTCCCCAAGAAATCGGCTGTGCTACTCATTTTGTTGAAACTTGGCATGCATGTAACAACACTCATTTTCATTGTAAAGATGGTTTTGTTCGTCATTGGAAGGTCAAGGCTACTTGTGTGCCAGCCCATGTGCATTGAACACTGAAGTGGAAAAAGTATACATTTTTTGGCTGACCTGTCTTAGAAAAATGCATGCTGTGCAAGAACGGCATGTTCGCTTTTCACTAAATTGGTGCCAAAATGACCGCAAAGAATTACTCTAAGAACTTCTACAGACTCAGCCCTTTAAAAAAAATGCACGGTGGTGACATCGTAAAAAAAATTGAGGGGGGAGTGGGATCTGCCCCCCACCTAGCACTTTATGGTTAAAACTATATGCTGTGCCCAATGAACTTCAAATTGAGGGAAAACTCAAGGGAAAGGGAAAAAAGGCTCAGATAGATGTACTGAAATACAGATAGACAAATATGGACAGACGAATTTGATGACAAGTACATCGGCAAAGTTCCAATACCATTCAAGTGGATTATGGCTCTTTTTTTAATTAATGTAATATACAAAAGCAAGCTTTGGGTTAATATTTCTTAAAGGAACAAAATACAATAAACAAACACTAATGTATTAGTTATAAGGTTACAACCAGGCATATGGCCAGAAGTTAACAACAAAATCCTCTAATATTTTTCAGCAGTGTGGCGACTGCAGCAAGCAAGTCTTTTTAAATTAGTTATCCCTGAAAAAAAATGCAAAATATAAAAATCTTAAAACGTAGACAAAGATTTTGGGGAGAGGCAGTTACCCAAAACAAAAATGGATCACAAGGGAAGAATCTGGGTGAGACAGTTTTCAACATAAATGACTTCAACCAAAAGCTTTAACATGTTTGCAGTCTTATTCATATTTTGAACCACTGTATCCATGCTCTAAGAAAAAGAATTCTTGCCCTGGCTCTAACCCAAATGCCAATCTCTAGTCAGTGTACCTCTGAAGGCATACAGGGATTGCATGGAGAATTGTGTTACTTTCCTCCGCAAAGCATGTGACTTAAATTATGCAGATGGTTGCGAAAGATCAAAATGCCTATGACAAGTAAATATTTAATGAAAACTACTGAGTATCTAATTTAAAATTGTTCACATTGTGAATATTAAAAAGTTATTGCAGGTCATGCAGTCACTTCTGGAGCCAAAGCCCTGAATATTTAACGAGATACAACCATAAAGCAGCACTGGTAGGATAGTTTGCAATGATTCATTTGTCTTAACTATATCTGCAGTTGATGTTTACAGCTCAGTTACTTGAAATATACTTAGTCATGATAAAATAGTTTACAGTATCAAAACAGCATAATTTTTGAAGCTACAAAATTGTTTGATTTGCAAATCTTAATAGTTTCAAGTAAGTACTTGTTTTCTTTTGGCATATATATGCTTGAATGTATTCAGAACACAACTGGGCTGATATTGAAAATTGCAAACGGAAGTGAGAAGTAAACAAGGGAGGCTTTTTCTTTACTTTTAACAAAGCTGAGCAACAGATGATAGCATTTTAAATTATTAAATTAAAAACAAAACGTTCAACTAGTAACAGGTTAGTTCTTCAACAGCAGGCTAATATACCAGTGAAACTGTAGCTAATGGAAGAAACTTCCTACGAACTTAGCTATCAATTACATGTTGAGTATTTCACTGATATAAATTCTTACAGTTTGTAAATGCTAACATGATGTTTCCTTAAATTGCTACATAATTTCAATAATACAGTAAAGAGCATGGATCCACATTAACAACGACCTGTGACTGCATGTACATGTATACAATTACTGCCACTGATTGAAAATTGAATAAATCCTGGGTTTTTTTATTGGACAAAGTGAACTCACGCGTCATATGAGTAAAACAAAATTTAAGCCTTTGCTCATGATTAAAACTTGATGTGAACAAACATTAAAGGTATAATGACTAGTCCGGTAAAGTTGGCTACAGTGTACCACTGCTTGAACTAACGACTCAGCAGTTCTCGTACTATGAACAAAATGATACAAATATCCTTCAGACCTCTCTCATTCAGTATTACAGATGGCACACTTTGATATCACTTATGAGTAAAAATAAATTGGAATTCACCACAACAATTTTTGAGTTAGAAATCCTTAAATCTTGCACAATGTAAATCAGCAGGCACTTTTTTCAACCACATTATGTCCTAGCTTTGGTCAAGGTATTCGTCATTTCATGCATTAGCCAGACTGCACAAGCTAGTTATCTATAACCTCCTGCCAAACAGCGACCTTGCGCAGACAGTGTGATATGTCAGTCAGCTGAACCTGCATATCCAGTGTCGGACTACTCGTACTTGAACTCGAGTACAATTCGCATACCAATTATGGCAATAAGTACTTAGCCCGTACTCAATCGCGAGTACTCGGGGAAAAAACCCAAGTACTCAGCACATACTCATAATTTTGTACTTGAATTCGTCCTTAAATGTGACAAATTGTACTCGGTTAACTTGATCCCAGTCATGCAGTACTCCAAATAGAAATTGGGATTTTTTATATTAGTTTTTCGATACTAAACTTTGACCGAAAATTTCACGTGTAAGCTACACGTTAAAAGTCACACAGTGTTTTTATTATTTCTGCCTCGTATTCATGAATGGATGTTGGCATGGTATCGCTGGTGTACATGAATTCATATTTCCATGATGTTTTAGTTTTACAATGTACTCAGATGTACTTGATTATCTTTGTACTTGTACTCGGCTCGTACTATGACTCTGAAAAACTAAAAACTTGGATTTTTGGCCCAGGACTTGATTAAAAAGTACTCAAACTTGGTCTATACTTGGCACTGTGTGTACTCGGAAAACTTGGTGCTCGAATTTTGATACTTGACTGCATCACTGCGCATATCACACTGACTGCATGGGGTTGCAGTTCGCCTTGATTTTTCCACTGCACACGGACAGCTAGCCAGTGCAGCTAATGATGAATGCCTTGATCAAGGTTGATGTCCATGTTTATCAGGATGTCACACTGAGTGGTATATCAACATGATGAGGCACATGAGAGACTAGTCAGTGAACATTTATTCTCAATTGTAAGCTTAAGTGAATTGAAACTAGGACCAGTTGGAATATATCAATCACCACTTATTTGTCATCTAAGATCACATGAGGTGATATGTTGGGGATTGTTTTAAAAAAGGAGTTCCAAACTGACAGGCAGCAATCAATGGCAACTGATCTACATCAAGTCTTGCATGACCTGAGCAGTTCTCTGCTTATTGCTAATAGTTCCATCTTGACAGAGGCAAACTGTAGACTGTTTACGAGGTGACATGGAATTCAACTTTACTGCATAATGCAAATTGCTCTGTAGAAATGGAATTTTGAGTTTCCATGTCTAATTAACCCTCCAGGTCACTGTAGCATATTTCGAAAATGTTATAGATACACAGAGATATTTCAGAATCTAATCAAACAGATGATAAAAACATGAAATTACATGAACCTGTGTTCAGAAAAAGAAAGACATTTCTAATTAATCTTACCAGGACTCCTCTAAATCTTTGAAATACTCTTTTGTCTTCACTATCCTCTAAACCAAGAAAGACTTATCTAAACTGAAAGAATTCACTCAAACTAGCAAAAAGTTCGACATGGTGGGTTTTAAAATTAGTGCTGGCTTCCACACACAATCCTCACATCTGGGGGCTAAATCAAATTTAAAAAAAGGACTACAGCACTCCCTGTCCCTTTCCAAACTGTTTAAGATTAAGAACAAATCGGTGGTCATGCCATTAGTGAACTAAACGATATGGCAGTACACATTTCACCAAGATGAAGTTGCTGTACATTTGTCAGTAGCAAAATTTGGGTGGGAACACAAGCAGAGAGTTTTTCTAGCACAGCCACAAATACATACAGGTATTTATCCTGAACAAATGGGTTAATAGTAAGAAGATATCATCCATTTGGTTTTTTTTGGGGGGGTCTTTTCACATGAGTACAAAAGCTCTCTTTTCTCCAATCCCTCCCAGAGTAAAAAACAGAAGAAAATGAAAAAAAGAAAAAACAAAAAAGAGGATGGCAAAGGTATTGCTTTGTCATTTCAGCTGGTACGTCCAGGTTTTCTTTGCCTGACCATATTCTGGGAGTAAGTGTACAAGATACCATTTATCCGGGGTACTTCCTGGAAAGTACATGCAATTACTTTAAAAATATCAAGTATTCAGTCAAAATGAATTTTCCTGGTCTTTATGTAGCCTGCATATTAAATATTGTAATGATTTTTGATTTTTGAAAAACCATATCAGACTGTTGGAGGCTCTGATACACTCTCTTTTTTTAATCTAAGACATAATGGATGTTACACTTTGTAATACATGTACACTGTAAGTGTGAAGTCATGTTACAGGTCTATTTATACCATGACCAAGACTAGTCACCATCACCTTAGAGAGTCCGTTTAACTCAAATAATCTATGGTAGCGGTGGCAACAGGTATTTCTGGAAGACCTGTGTGTGCATGTAATTCAAGCTATCATCACAATACTGGCCTAAATAATGTCACATATGTGCGAGGGGGGGGGTTTACTCACAGTTTGGCAGAAATACATAATGCCAACTTATGACACTTTTTGAAAAGTGTACACAGAGTGTTAACCAATCTCCCAGTGCATATGTTCTGTATCCTCATGAAAAGGTGGAAAAAGGGAAGCTCCTTTAAACACAGATGGTATTTGAGTAACTCCTTTCCAACTGGTCTCTTATCATTTCTCTGGACTGACCAGTTTATACAAGCTACTATCTCCTGTGGAGTAAACAAGAAACAAACACAACTAAACAAACAAACAAACAAACAAACACACTTCTTTACCCCTTCCTCTCAATCCCTTCCTATGAAGTACTTTTTCATGGCCATCTAGCACAGCTCAAGTAAGATTCTTCTCATCCATGATCACCTCAATCAAAATCAGAAATGCTGCCTCTGGATTTATTTTCTGAATTACATTGTATGTTTTGAATATTGGTGACAATAATAATGCAAAGTGTTGAAGAATTTATTAGAATTTCATCTTTATAAATAGAAACAACAATATAAGGAAAGGACCCCCATTGTGCCCAGCTGGAAAATTTCAAATATTCCAGTCAAATATACATCCCTTGTGAATTTTACTTACAGAGAGATGGTCAAACAGAAGTATTTAAAAAATATATATTTCATCAACCTTTATCAGGCTATGTGACACTCTTGAGATAATCTCATGTTAAGTCCAATACAACCTAAAAGTCAGCACCTAAATATTGGAGTTGACAAAACAAAATTTTGAATAACAACAAAAGCACTACAGTACTGCAAGATAGGGTGCAAAAATAGTGGCTTTACTCTATGTATAAAAATAGCAACTGAGAATGCTTACAGTACACAAAAGTAGTGAGAAATTAAAGAGCAAGTACGTGTATCATATTTCCTGAATTAGACCATCCACTGATCACATAAATGCTTGAAGTCACATTACTTCCCATCATTGGTCATATCAGGTTACTTGCAATGTTAAGGCTACAGGGCTACAAAAACAGTGGCTTATGGTTATACATGTAGTTGGGTTACAAAGAAAGAAATATGCTACAGAATACAAGACAACCAGACTTACAACTACTTACATGTACAACATTCATATTATTTCGTACAATCTGTGATTGGATTTGAATTACATTTGCACCATTACATTAGAGGCTTTCCTTCATAAAATGTGCCTTCATCTGCCACAATGAATTTTATAAAAACAAACCACAGTAAAACAAATGAAAATTATACAAAATACAAAAGACTGGGACAGCAACCCCCAACTCCCACACATGAACAGATGTATCTTTAAGCACAATGATTGACATTTCTGCCCTCTGATGCATCTTGGTATAGGTCTAGAGTCTCGTTATCCAGTAGAACATTACGTATGCATCCCAAAAAGCCGATGGTGTAACGCTTCAAGGAACGCTCTGCAATGTCCTTCATGCCCCCTACAGCAAGGTAATTCAAGACAATACATGTATGTTCAAATATAATTACAATGTAACCAAAATTGTTACGTAAGATTATAAAAACAAAAATTCATTCAAGTGATCACCAGTGAACATCATGAGTAGCAAACTCAAAACCTTTGACATAGACCTTTGATTACAGGTGGAAATATGGGTGTTAGAATCAACAGCTACATTGACAATGTGCAAGCATTTACAAAGGACACACACTCCATTTTACAAATATTTCTTTATATCCTGAACATCCGTGTCAAGATTTGCATCGCCACACCACTTTTAGAGCCAGCTCCAGACCAGAAAGCAGAAACTTTTTTGTTTTTAGCCTTAACTGGTTAAGCTTTACTTGTTGCACTCAGGACTGCATAATGCTCAAACTACATGTACAAGACTGTCAAACTTGCTCCACAATGGTGAGCATTTCAAAATTCTGCTTACCCAGAAAGAGTCCATTGTTCATATCAAGGCTTCTCGTTGGTCCAGGTGAAGTAGCAGTTAGGCCTTCTCTCTGGTCTACTACCAATATTCCTGAAGCACGCTGACGTTGCATAGACACTATGTGCCATTCACCATCATTGAATGTCTGATTTGTCAGGATGGATATGGAACCACCACCCAAGTTATAGCTGTTGGGGAAAAAGGTAGTCCACATACAAAAGTGTGAAATAAAGCCCATGCAAAACTACTCTAATGTGCATCAATAAGCTACCACTGGTGTGACAGTTTGTAAGTCAGTGGTGTGACAGTAAGTCTTTGTCCTCAGTCAGTTTGTGCACGTAGTACGCAATATTTTACTCTCTTTGTTTCATAGAATCTCGAACTAAAATTCTGCATACCCACTTGAAATATCCTAGTCCATGGGCCTAGCAACACTCAGTTGCAATGTGTACTCCAAGAGTGGTTTGAACCCATCCAGGGGAAATGACAGAGGGGTCTTTGAGCAAGGCATGCTATCTACATGCAAATACTTGTCTCTAACGTTAAACCAACAAAAGTTGGTTTGTTTATTGTTACATTCACATGTTTGGTCAATTATCATTAGTTCTTGATACAGTTCAGAAAGCATCAGAGGTGCTTTCTGCACTAACCAACTCATGGTTTAATGTCATGGTTTAAAGGGTAATTCCAAATTAACATTGTGCAGACTGCTAGGCTAGCAGAATGACAAAACAACACAAAGCAAGCAGATCAATGAGGAACTGATACTAGATCACTGGCAAACTGATGCTCACTGGATCAATGAAACAATGATACTTGGTACCAG